GAGTCATAGTTCATGCGGCCAGTCGCCGGCTTCCCACGGCGGGGGCCCACGTTCGATCACAGGTCAGGTAGTTCAGGATTTGTGGTGGACAAGGTAGCACTGGGGCTGGTTTTCTCCGAGTACTTCGGTGTTCTTTGTCAATTCACATTCCATAAACTCTTCCTCATTCATTAATCATCCTATCATTGAAGCTGTGTAGTCTCGTACCTGAGGGAGTCCTTACTAACAAACTTGATAAAACAAGAAGTTCTAGGAGGAACTCATTGCCTACTTTCCTTTCATACAACACTGACCGCACGGATCACTGCACGTCAAGCAATTCTTCTAATTAGTGTGTATTTGTTTCCGTGAAAGAAATTACCGAGCCGTTGCCTAGGAACAAGAAGGAGGGAAACACTTTACCGAACCTTTGCCTAACAACGTGAGGAGGCTGCACATACAGACGCACGAACTGATGAGAGAGATTTGTTAAATGCACCGTTGAGATGGGCTCAGTTGTCGTGATAAACAAACCAAGTTTCATAAAGATAGGTTCAGGCATTCAGAAGTTAATAGGAGAAGATTCGCAGACACACAGACAGCATGGAGATCGAATAAGCCTACTTCAGGAAATTAGGCTGAAAACTGGGAAAGTAACTTCCACGTCTTGAGGAGATTTGAAGGATTTTGCCTTGAAGTCGAGTTAATAACATTCGTTGTAAACTGCCCCGGTCTAGAAAACCGAAATTAACGGCCTTGGGGATTCGTTGCGCTGACCACGCGACAACCTCTATCCGCTAAAGTTGACACTAAAATTGACCGACAAGCGGCGGTCGCTCGGTCGGTATAGTTCGCTTGCGGACTAAAATCACGGAGTTTTTTTTTTGTTAATAGCCACAAATGCTAAATGCAAAAACGATTTACAGTACTGCCGGAATATTGCAGATGAACCCATTTTTTTATATACTCTGGCTAAAATGAGTTACAGATATGATTTGCACTGGAGAACATTTTCTAAACACGTGTAAGTTTTGAGGTTTTCACGGCGATGACAATGAAGAGAGTCGTCTTCTGGGTTTAGGTACCGTGTATACACGGTGGCTAAACCCAGAAGACGACTCTCTTAATTTTCTAAACACGTTTTATTTTAAGATAGTATGCTTATTAATCATTTGACTTAGGCCCAATTTGTACGAGCTTTTTTAATGTGGCATTTTGTATATGGAGTTATGGGGAGACGTTGATTTAAAAGGGGGTACTTCCCCCTATCTTGCCAATGATGGTGAACTAACCAACCAAATCTATGTAGCTGAATCCTCCTTGACAAGCCACCACTCACTCAGCTACTCAAGAAATTCCCAAAGTTTTATGAAACCCGAAGGTTCATTACCGTGCTCATAAGTGCTCGCCACTGGTCCCTGTCCTAAGGCAGATAAATCCGGTCCAAACCATCCCATTCTATGTCTCTAAGATCCATTTTAATATTATCGTACTACCTACCTCTGCGTCTCCCTATTGGTCTGTTTCATTCTGGCGTTCCTACTAAATACCTACATGCATTTCTCTTCTCTTCAAGAATACTACATGCCCTGGCCATCTCACTTTCCTCGGTCTGGTCATTGTAATTATATCTGGCGAAGACCACAAGTTATGAAACTCCTCATTATACAATATTCTGCAAATCCTATTATTTTAAGGCTCTTCGAAGTCAAATTTTAATTTTGTATCTTTTAATGTTTACGTTTTTAGACAGCAAAGAAGAAGACTTCTATTTTGAATTGTTTCATTTTAGTCCGTTACACTATCAATCACAAAGTCAATAGAAAGTCCGTCGAGTGTAACAATTTGTAGGTCACTTCTTTATCACTTCTGCCTTACATGTTTCGGTTTGACACAACCATCATCAGAGGCACTTGCTATAATTAGTACGGACAGTACACAGCACACAGGAACATATCAAACCATAAGCCATACAACCTCAAGCTGACGTCTCCCATCTTCGGGATGAATTAACAAGGAGGAGTTCAGCATTTTATATCAAACATTTTAACACTTTAGCGTTTTAACTTAAAAATAGGTTCGGATGAAAAGTGAGAACTTGAGAGTGTACTCAACTATCTTAGCATGTTTTGTGCTTTTACACGTCAACATATCGTAGCAGCGTCCACACGACAAACATAATTGTGAACATCATAAACAACGACACTGTTTCCATAGTTATAGCAAGTGCCTCTGATGATGGTTGTATCAAACCGAAACATGTAAGGCAGAAATAATAATAAAAAGTGACCTACAAATTGTTACACTCGACGGACTTTCTATTAACTTTGTGAAGAAGACTTCTCTTAACTGAAGAGTTACAAGCATTACCCGAATTTAATTTCCACTTAATTTCATAGTGCTCTGCCTTGCCAAATATAATCTGACCTTAAATTAGTTCATTTAACTTCTTAATTGACTTAACTGGAGATGGGAAACAATATTACTCAGAGAGCAGATAGGACTATTTCGAAGTGACCTGGGGTCGGCAGTACTCTCTAGAAAGAGCCCCTAATTACGCAGAATCTGCCCCCAAGACAACAATAGCTCAGGCGGTTCAATGCCGGCTTCTTTCCACAGAGGTCCGGGTTGAAGTCCACGGCACTCCATGCGGGATTTGTTGTGGACGAAGTGGCACTGCGAATTGTTTCTCTTCAAGGACTTCGGTTTACCCCTACCTATTAATATCCCACCAATCCTACTTTGGTCTGTTATTCTAGGCTGGTACATTGGAAGTGCTTACGGTTTTGGTACCAAAGGACTCAGCATCGCCCCATCCCAATAACAATAATAATGAAAAAAATGACTGAAGTTGACGAAATGTACACCCATTTATTTTGCATAGAATTCTTGAGTTCCTCTCTCACACTACACGAGCCGAGCCGAGCCGAGTTGAGGCGAAATCGAAAGCTTAATATCAGCCATTCCAGCATCTGGGTTGAACTCTATTCAGTTAGCGTGCCAGGAACAATTTTGCGACTTATGTCATAATATGTAATACAGGCTATCGGTTATGATCTACTTCGATTGCTGAATTCCTCCCAACTTTTCCGCCATTAGGGTGAATATCACGGACAGGTGAAAGGAAGGGGTAGAACATCTGAAATCTAAAGAGAATCATCGAGCCATTACCTAAGTCTTAGGTAATGGTTCCTAATTCTATGAACTTCATGGAGTTAAGAATCGGTATTTATAAGGAGGAATGAGTTAATGAATTAATGAAAAGAAAAGTTTCATATGTATAATTATATTATTTTCACAAATAAAATATTTGAGTATATAAAATACTTGTCTATCACATTATTTGTGGGAAGTCTTAATTTTCAATGCATTAATCACATAACTTCCAGAAATTTACGTAGCTATGTTTATTATTAAATATAAATGAGTATTTAAAAAACTATCAGTATTAACAGACTTAAAACACTGTTCATATGAAATATTAGATTCAGAACTCATTACAACAGCAGCTGTTACTGTTTTAGTGAAGCGAAGAAGGCCAAAGAAGAATATTACCTATGTAAAACGTGCTTGACGGTACATTACGTCTACAGTTAGGCAGATTTGTGGAAGAAAATGTCTGTGTGTTCACCTAGGTTTCCTGCATGGCAGTGTTGATTTCCACACTCAGTTGAAAATTATTTTCTGATGATGACGAAAATTCTACTGCACTATTTTGTGATGGCACAGAATCAAAGATGTTTTAGACACAGTATAGCACAATGAATATCCTGAGTGAAAAACGAAGGTACTTCTGCATTGTCACTGAATATTTTCTTTGGTTATTGCACATCCGTGAGTGCCTATAGATAGCAATGATTATTCGTCCGTGAGGTTGAAGTACGGAACCCCCCCCCCTCCAAATCACGGCCGCCCTAAGAATGTAAGCGCTGCTTCGCTCTCTTCTCTTGTTTATTTGCCATTTTTAAACGCAGCTGTATCAACTACTTCAGCCGAGTATATTCATGTGTTTCATACGCATATGAGAAGAAACAGTAATTATTTCTGTATATAGCATTAACGGGTCGGTCCTTTTGAAATGGAGAGAAGCAATATGTATTTTTTGTAGTATGAACTTAATTTTTAATTTAGATTAAATATCTGACATATTATTACAGCTATGACAATACCTGCTAGCTTTTTGTTTATTTCTGATGAAGACAAAATAAGTAAGTTTTGAGGTTTTCACGGCGGTGACTATGAAAAAAAACAGTCTTCTGGGATGTGGCACCGTGTAGATGTGGTGTTAACCGACGTTTCAGAGGAGCGTATCGCCTCCATCTTCAGGTCTTCACGGTCTCTTCACTTGCGGATTTTCTTATTTTTTCCTTCTACCCTGAAGATGGAGGCGATACGTTCCTCCGAAACGTCGGTTAATACCACATCTACACGGTTCCACATCCCAGAAGACTGCTTTCTTCAAGACAAAAATAAATTTGAAGAATGATTCCTTTTGCATAGCCAATCCATTATTGTAACCAACTGATTATGGTTTTTATAACCAATGAAATATGTTTCTGTAACAAATGTATATTTGTAAAGAATAGATTATGTTCTAGCCAGTATGTTGTTATAAATAATAAATTATGTTTATGTAACCAGTGCATTGCTATATAACACATGGATTAAGTTTTGACATCGATACATCGAAGCCTATATTCTCTAGTTGCTAGAATGATTCCTAGATGTCAGTGTCTCAGAGATCCTGCGTCCGATTATTTGACGTAGGTTTTCTTCGTTTCTCCCTGTTAACAGCAAATGCTGAGAAGTTTCCCATGTTCCAATTTGCCACTGCGCGCGTCTTATCTAGCCCTTCTACTCATAAAAACTGAATTCCTTGCCCTGGAGGTCCCTAAAATATTGTGGCATGCAGACTTGTTGCTAGGCGACGACCGCGAAATAGCCACACAACAACCGTTGCTAGGTAATGGCTATGTAAACCATATCCATTGCTAGGTAATGGCAGCAACAGATTAGTAACACGCAACAATGGAGTAACTTGGAAGCGGTGTTCTCTATGCGGTTCTCTACGTGATGTAACAATAGAAGAACTGTCGTGAGAGATGGGCCTCAAGGGATCTGACACCAAGACGAACTGATTGGAGGTAAACCGCCAGTCGCAAAGTAAATCTCTCTCTCTCAACACAGGAACCTCAAGATTCCTCCGAAACGGAAGTTAACAGAGACGTAATTTACAGTCTCGATTGTTTGATGAGACCGCAAAAATTCAATGTGAGCTTCATACAAAATTCTTGATGACTTCGTTTCAGATAAATATAACCAAGGTTTATGTCCTAGCGTATGCATAATAATTTTTCAATTCTGTGCAGTAGAAAAGTCACAGCACTCCGATACTTTCGTAATTAATTAATTAACTGCTTATCATATTTCCGTTGAATATTATGAACTTTTATGTCCTAGCAGAAGCACAATATTTTTATAATTCTGTCTAACCGAATCACATGATTACACAGCTGATATTTTCGTAATAAATTTACATATTTATTCCACTTACATCTTCACTTCTTTACCGTCAATTTTTTGGTTTTTATTCCGTTAAATAACGCAAAATACTTTAGGGCTTTGGACACCCCGAACGACTTAATTTACTGCTTGAAAATTTAAAAAGCATACTGACTTCATATATCCATAATTTGATTTAATTCAAAGTTTAGGACAAATTTCGAATACTAATCCATTGTTCTGTGTTTCGAATTCAGTTTTTAATGAAAGAAAATCAGACAAAGGAATTCGTAATATAATATCCATGTAAAGAAAATCAAAGTAATTTTTCTGTAGCAGTTCGGCATCATTTGATCAGAGGCCCACTCACCCCTATAACTTTTCCCTTCGGTCCATTGTTCTTTGGTTTCAGTTCATTTTAATAATATAAAAGTTTATGGTCTATAAAGCACATAATAACTTCACATATATGGCAACTAATGAAAATTCGTGTTGTCCAAGCTTTTCAATAAGTAGCGTTTATATTCATATCTGCCCTATATATTTTTCCTGTTGGCCTAATTGTCTAGTTTCACTTCAGGTTAGTAATTACAATGTCTGGCCTAACAAAAGAATGTTAACCGAAAGAAAAACTGTACCACCTAAGTAGGCCCTTGTCTATTTTGATAACATTAGCGTTATATCTGCGTAATAAATCTTCTTTCTGAGCCCGTTATTATTTGTTTTCACTTCAGCTGAATATTGTTGACTTTCCGAAATATTTTCACTTCTGCGTAACCGAACTTAGATCTCGTCAAGAAAATTTATCAGCGCAGTTCTGGTCATTGATACACGGATAACTGAAGGAAACACAAGCATCGGAAGGCTGGTTTCTTCATCTTCCTAGAGGAAAACCGAAACAATTTATCCACAAAACAAGGTTTTGCACTCGCATTGCGCTATCTCGGTGTGTACTCGTGATAAGCACTGGGTCTGTGATGCGTCGCGACGCCACTACCGTTGTTTCCCGTTGCAGTGGAGAAGAAACCTTGGTGGTGATATCCAGCAGTATGGTAGAGCCCCACCGTTGCTGAGGGACTAACTGTGGCCCCTCGACCCCCATAGGGACTAGGCGTTGCCGTGGAAACCATGGAGCCTGTTCTCAATACAGCGGCTGGTGAGGCAGTGGATGTAGGGGACTTCATAGGATTGCTGTACCCGCTAGGTCCGCCGGACAGCCCGCCAGCGCTGTAAGCAAGCATCGCGTAATGTTAGGCCTAATGTTGACTTGTTGGTGGATTCCGGTATGAAGCGGGGCAAGTTTGTTTATTTTGTATTTCAGTTTCTAATGACCGGCACCGTGAATAGCTAAGATCTAGCGACATGTAATCCAGTATAAATTCCTGGCTACTTGCTTCAACTCTGAAGATGAAAGCACTAATTTCCTTCTTAACCTCCGCGAACTTCTAAAGAACTACACGGCATTATATCCCCAAATATAGCACGCCTGTTTATTGTTTATTTAACGATGATGTCGTTAGCTGCTTGTATAGCCTCGAATTGTAAGATGATTAGGAAGTGATGAATTGGAAAAAACGTGGAACATAAAGTGGTTAATGTGCGAATTAGGGCAGCTCTTCGAAATTAAATTTAAATTCGGGGTCTCCAAAATATGAATCAGGTTTTCCAAGAAACTCAACTGCAACGTTCAGTGAAGAACAGTAAGGTTGGTATGAGGATGAAGCTCATAACTTAACCGCAGCTGATGTCGAGGTTTAGAAGGTGTTGGGTGTTCCTCCTTTGCGATAAATTTAAATATTTCCTCCCATCTACGCCAGTGTCTACCAAGTGGGCAGCTCCGTGCATGTTTTCCGACTAAGATATTGTAACGACTTTTTATCTGTCCCTTGCGCTGTACATGGCTTGTCCAGCTCACCTCAGTTTGATCAAGCTAAAGATGTCTGCATCTCTTCATATATCTTTAATACGCATTTTTCTTTCAATGGCTCTACAGCCCTTTATTGGGCCCTGGCCTCTTATTTAGATTCGTAATCATTTTTCGTAGACGGTAGGACTCTTTGGGAGGGTGATCAGCCCGTGGCAATTCCGCTACATAAACACAGGACATCATAAACACAGAATAAACACATACACACACCAAATATCCATGCCCTGAGTGGGATTCAAACCCACAATTCCAGGGTCCGAGCGAGCGAAGAAAGTTCATGCCTAGACCGTGCGGCTACTGTAGCCGGCTAATACGCAATTACTGCATTGTTAAAAGAATATGAGCATTTTTTTCATTCTTAAGAGGCAAACTGTGAATTATTTATTTATGGCTTATTTAATGATCGTGGTTGAACTGCGCATGTTTAGACTTACAGATCGAATAAGTTTTAATTATAAGATTTGAGGTTTTCACGGCGGTGACTGCGAAAAAAGCAGTTTTCTGGGATGTGGCGCCGTGTAGATATTGTGTTAACCGACATTTCGGAGGAACGTATCACCTCCATCTTCAGGGTAGAAGACATGAAGAAATCCGCGAGCGAACCAGCGTGAGCAGGTGCAAACTACGAATTTTACAGACACTCGGTATGATTCCTTGGACGGGGGATCAGCCCATCGCAAGGCCGCTACCTGCACACAGGACAGCACAAACAGAATAAACGCGCACAGACATCCATACCTCAAGTGGGATTCGAACCCATGATCCCAGTATTCGAGCCAGTTCATTTCATGCCTTAGACGGCGCGGCCACTGTGATCTGCACGGTCCCTATCACATAGCTTCGAATTATAGGAACATTTGTGAATAATTAATTATAAAGGATGTGAAAGGAAGATACAGTGGTCTAATAGAGTATATCCCGGTATTTGTATGGAGGGACTGAGAAAAAGTAAGAAAACTCTCAATCACAGTAACCGGTCTCCAAGGCCGCGCCATATCTCAAGCGGTTTGTCGCTGGCTTCTCACCGCGGCGGCCCGGGTTCGATCCCTGGTCTGATCAAGTGGGATTTGTGGTGGACAAAGCAGCGCTGGGGCAGGTTTTCTCCGAGTACTTCGGTTTCCCCTTCATTCCACCAATTGCTCCACAATCACCCTCACCTATCATCTGGGGCTGGTACAATAGACCAGAAGTGGCCAAAGTACAAGGGACTTAGTCCCACCCCACTAGCAATAAAAAGAACCGGTCTCCAAGCCGAGATTTGGACCTGGAAACTTCCTAATACACAGTAGTGACGTGAAGTTTCTATCTGGCTACATAAAGACGATGTCACTGTCGAGACATATATTGCCAGCACAGATACGAACTCTGTGTATGCTGAACCCGGTTTTGCGGGCTTCAGAATCCTCTAGTGAAGCGAATGTTAGGTCGTTTTACCTGATAGAGTTGTAGGCTGTCTGGTGCAGGTGGTGGTGATGGTAGATGGGGCCGTAACTGCAAAGATCCGCGGGGTAGGGCTGGCCTAGCGACGGACTGGCAGTCAGCATCGCAGGAGCGGTGCTAGTGTTGGCCGTGTGCGGAGACGTCCGGGGTGGGGGCGCCGCCGACGCCGACGTCTCTCCGTCGTCCTCTACCAGGATAAACTTCATTAATGACAGACTAATGACCTCGTTCGCGCCATCAACTGAGACCAGACTCTCGTCTCAATGAACCTGAGTCTCACAGAGCCACACATTCAGTTCTTAGAACGATTTTGGCTGCTGATAACAGTGGACGTACGGTCTTAAGATCATGGTTTCGAATCCTGCTCCTGACATGCATATATTCCTTGTCATTTCTGTTTGTACAAGTATGTTTAATGAGGCTGCCTAACTGCAGAGGACCGCCTCTGTGATCTAGTGGTCAGAGTTCCTGGCTACAAAGCCAGAGGTCCCGTGTTCGATTCCCGGCGTTACCAGATTTTATAAGAAGTAGTGGGTCTGGAACGGGGTCCACTCAGCCTCGTGAGGATAACTGAGGAGCTACTTGAATGGAAAATTAGCGGCTCCGGTCTAGAAAACCGACATTAATTGCCGTGGGGATTCGTTGTGCCGACCACGCGACACCCTTTCCTTCTGGCTTTCCCATCAATAGCCTACATGTATTCCTCTTCTCTCAAATTCGTGCTGCATGCCCTACCCACTTCATCCTTCTTCACTTGATCATTGTAATTATACTCGGAGAATAGTACAAGTTATGAAGCTTCTCATTAGCTTAATTAAGTATTAACGGGGATAAGTTCATATTTTGTATAATTAATTTAATCGTATGCAGTAATTGTGTTCATGAGACTACTCCTACGCCTTGGGCTACTAACTGAAAATAGGGCATGACAACATCATTTGGCATGCTCGGTAAATCCATCACTCATGCTCCTTTTGATGCTGAATAAATCTGCAGTTACGCAACAACAAAACAAACAAATTCCTTGGCTTTAGCCCGCAAGGCGACTATACCGACCAAGTGACCGCCGCCTGTCGGCGAAGTTAGTGCCAAATTTGCGGATAGAGGGTGTCGCGTGGTCGGCGCAACAAATCCACACGGCCGTTAATTTCGGTTTTCTAGGCCGGAGCCGCTATTTCCATGAAACAGCTCCTCAGTTATCCTCACGCGGTTGAGCGGATCCCATTCTAGACCCACCACTTCTCACAAAATCTCGTAGAGCCGGGAATCGAACCCGAACTTCTGGATCTGTAGCCAGGAACTTTGACCACTAGATCAGTGTTCCACAACATTTTTCTACTCGCGGCACGCCATGGCGTATCGATGACTGAACACGGCACACCAAAATGTTATTCCCCTCAGAAACGCATGATATCAGACAATTAATATAAATATCTACCGTGATCAACTTATTATTATATTATTATTATCATTAAACAGAATTCTACTCATGAAATTTATTAACTATTAATGAACTAATTCTACTCATAACCTCAATGTGATACTTGCCTATGCGCAGCTGCACAAATACAGTAATTCTACGGTGGAATCGTCGACAACGCAAGTCTCATTTCTT